CCAATCACGTCTCACTCAGTATCCCATGGATAAACAAGCACCTCCAACTCGCAAGCATCAAGATTCGGATCGAAGTCTCCAAGCGAAATCAGCTAAGACCCAAGATCAAGTTGCAAAAGAATAATAGATAAGAATCTTGTAACTAGCAGTTTGACATGCATACGCAGTTAGTACAGTTTCAATTTTCCTTTGTTTGTAATAAGGGAGTCGGTAAGCAGCAACAGCAGCGGCAACAGTAGTAACGACAAGAATTGCAGTCCCATTGTAGTCCCAACTACCAAACCTTCCCGAACTACATTAACCTGATTCCTGTTTAGCCCAGGATATGTAGGAAATCTTTGAAGCAAAGATTCGGTCAGATCTTTCAAAACATGCTTCACACGGAGTAGTCCAATAGGCAAAAATCGCTCATATCCGCTCACTTTATCTTTGCACGAAAACTCTTCGTGTTTCCGAACAAAGAGGGGCAGCTGTGAGCACGTGATTTTTGTTTTACGCGACAATCACTCCAAAAGAAACAAAATAAAAATGGTTTGGTCTTGCTGCACAATTTTTCGGATTTTTATGTGGCATTTTCGGTACTTATTTGTGATCTTCCCTTTTCTTTTTGTATTTTTCATCAAAAGCAAAATATATGTGTCGTGTGTAAAAATATAAAGTGATGTTTTTTTTATTTTATTATTGTGTGATTAATTGTTTGTTTAAGGTTTTATTAGGTTTGTTTAATTTAATTAGGGGATTAAAAAAGAAAAAGGGATTTCGGATTTGGCCGGTCCAATAAGACAAGCCCAAACTAAAATTACCCGGTCCAGTCCAGTTCAGCCCCCGGAATATCTCAAACGACGTCGTTTGGGTCGTGCATGATCTGGTCCGTTGATCTCAGAATGATCAACGGCTAAGATCACACACCCCGTACCCACGAACAGATCCGACCCGTCTTACCCGAACCAACCGTGACCCCTAGTAAGCTAAACGACATCGTTTCAGTTAGACCTTCAGATCCAGGCCATTGATCGCGTTCAATCCAACGGCCAAAACACAATCATCCACCCCGTATAAGAAGACTCATATCATACCCTGCCCCTCTATCCAAGACCCCCGCCTTCGTCCTCATCTCCTTTCCCCACGAAACCCTAGCCGTCCCCTTTCCCTTCACCATTAATCCCGGCGGCATAGACGCCGGCGACCCCCTCCTTGACACCATAGGACCGCCTCATTACCCTGAGCATAGATCAGTTATCCTTTTCCCTCGAATTAGATCCTAGTTGCTCGAATCTTCATTTGAAGATTCGAGCAGAACTCGATCTATACCGATCTACCCTAGATTTATACCAGACAGTCCCCGGACCTCCCTCGTGACCAAACCATGCTTGGTTTGGTCCGAAGATGACCAAGGAAACCCAAAAACCAAATCTGCCTCTAGGAACCCTAGGAATCCTCATGACCGGTCTGTGTCCGTTCGAGCCGAGTTGATTAGGGTCTAATGGACCTTAATCGAAGTGTTCTCAGTTGAGAACACTTCGATTAAAGTCCGTTCAACCCCAAGAAAGATCTATTCAAATCCAAGACAAGGTTTTCTGATCTTTTTTCCAAGTTTCGAGGTAATTTTTGTTTTCTTTATCGGTTCATTTTGTCTGTGGTATCTGAATGTCTGTTTATGTGGCCAAGAGTTTTTGTTTAATTTGTGTCTTTAAAATCTTATCAACTGTTTTCGTACACCTCTGATCTGATCAAGCCTTTCTTTCGTTTACTGATAATGTGTGTGCGTGTAAACTGTATAGTCGATCTAATTTGAAATTGCTCGATTAATCAGTCCCCAAGGTCATCTATGTTTTGACATTGCAGTCTGAACCCCTTGTTTGATACTGTTGGATTTCTGATCTTTGGCTACGATTGAATGAGTTACAATTAGTATAGTCGAGTCAACATACGTCGTCGATTAGTTTCAGCTGCTAAATGGTAACAATTTTATTCATATTGTTGGCTTTTCTGCTGAAGCTTTGTTGGAATGCAACTAGGAACTAAGTATAGTTGTTTGTGGTTGTTCAAATTGATCCCAAAACATTACAGGGCTTAGTTTATAGTTACAGTTCAGATTTTGGTTTAAAATTGATGGCATGTGCATTCTTGGGCAGCATGTGCACTGTGTTTCTTTAATAATTAGAGCAAATGGGACAGCATATGCTGTCAGGTCCTAGTCAGGCTGCCCATATCCTGTCTTAATTTAGAAATAATAAGCCCATTCAAAGATATATTTGTCAGGGAATATCATGGGAGGGTCTTATTTTAAGTAGTTGAGTGGAAAGAAAACAGATCAAATGGGAGGGGTTCTGATTTGTCTAACAGGCTGTTAAAGGGCTGAGTTTAGGCTTATAAAACAAAGGAACTTCCAATAGAAAAGGGGATTGGAAAAATTTGATTTGGAGGACTGAATTTGAAAGGGGCTGAAAAACATAGAATTGAAAAAGACATACAGATTTTGGACTAGAAAAGTTAGACTGGGATTCACTGGATTTATTCAGAAAAGATACATAGAGAGATAAGAGAAGTAAGGCATACGCAAGGGAGGGAAAACGTATAGATAACAATCAGAAACTGTTTCTTCTTTCTGTTTGTTTGGATTTCACCTGATTTCAACCTGTTCAATCAATTCTGATTTCTCCCAAGTCTCAACTAAGTACATTGGTTGGTTTGCATTGTTTGTTTCTCCNTTTAGGCTTATAAAACAGAGGAACTTCCATTAGAAAAGGGGACTGGAAAAATTTGATTTGGAGGACTGAATTTTGAAAGGGGCTGAAAAACAGAGAATTGAAAAAGACATACAGATTTTGGACTAGAAAAGTTAGACTGGGATTCTCTGGATTTTTTCAGAAAAGATACATAGAGAGATAAGAGAAGTAAGGCATACGCAAGGGAGGGAAAACGTATAGATAACAATCAGAAACTGTTTCTTCTTTCTGTTTGTTTGGATTTCACCTGATTTCAACCTGTTCAATCAATTCTGATTTCTCCCAAGTCTCAACTAAGTACATTGGTTGGTTTGCATTGTTTGTTTCTCCTGGACTTGGTTTGTTCTGAAGTTTTGTTTCTACTGCACTGCTTGCTGCTGTCATTTGGCTATTTTTCCATCGGCTATAGTTGCATTCTTGCACTCTAGCCTTTTTTTTGCTGTGTTGCTTTGAGCTGCTGCTGCTATTCTGTTACTGCTGCTGCATTTGTTGCCATTGTTACTCTACTGACTCCTCTTCTTCTTCAGCTGTAAACACTTCCAGGTACACACTTCTGAAACCATGTGTTGTTGAAAGCTTGAAGTTTTGAAGCAGAAATAAAGAAATGAATGTTGTTTACTTCACAATGCTTGTGTTCAAAATAGAGCCATAGGTTGAATGATAAGTTGGCCTGTATCTGTTTAATTTCATTCCAAGCTGCAACTGCTCTGTATGAATTAACACACATCCTAAGTGAGATTAAGTTGTTAGATAGTATTGTTTTTAGATCCGATGTATTTCCATGTGCGTAACCATTGGGTTTGATTTAGTGGTGATAGCATAACATAGAATCATGACAAGCATCTGTATATACTCTTGTTTAGACCTTTGAACTGTCAAATCTGTTATATCTTGTCCCATTTGATTTCAAGATAAATGTATTCCAAACGAATTCTTATGTGGTGTTACGTTAACGGGTTAGCCATGTACGCCAACTCTTTTGTTAGATTCCTTGTTTCGATATAGGTTCATTGTTCCGAAATAATGCGACAATTTGGAGGAAAACTAATTTAATTGGCCTGAGTTCGGGTAAGAGGTCTGGCGCTTAGATCAAAATAAATTCCCATTGATAGTAGCTTATAGTAGTCAATGCTGTTAATTTGTTCAAAAGGCCAGTTTGAATTAAGATGGGACAGACACCTATGGTGAGTTTAGGCATGATATTTGTCTTATATGCAATTTTTTATCAAACTGAAAGCATGTCCAATAAACCTCAGAATTTTTCCACCTCGCATAGAATTAATACAATAACTAATAAGAGGCCAAATTAGCCAGACAAGCAATTTAATTAAGTATGTATTTTTTTTCTTTTTTAGAGACAAACATAATAGAAAATATAGTCATTGTAGGTTTATCCTTTTAAATAAAATGAGACGAGCCTCGACACACAAAAAATGCACAAGTTGCGGGGCCCTCTAAATGTATATATTAAAATACTTAGAATTCGGGACAGGCCGTTTAGTGAATTTTACGGTCTTCCTGCAAAATAACTATACGCTAGTTGCTTTAGGCGCGACTTAATTAAATTACATTCTTAAATTCGGGTGCACATTGATGTGACCCAAATCCAAATCTCAACGAAGTCTAAACGTGTCGACGACCACGGGTGCATTGATTGTGACGTGGTTCGAGATGCATTTTCACGACGTTGTAATTCTATAAAAATAAATGATAATAATAAAAGCGGTTTAAAATTAATAAAAGCACGTAAGTCGTAACATGTATTTAAATCAGATATTTGGCCATTATCACAATTTAAACGACCGTGCTAGAACCACGGGATTCGAGGGTGCCTAACACCTTCCCTCGGGTCAACAGAATTCCTTACTTAGAATTTCTGGTTCGCAGACTTCATTTGGAAAAGTCGAAAATCTCCTCGATTTGGGATTCAAGATAAACCGGTGACTTGGGACACCAAAAGCCAAACCTTTCCCAGGTGGCGACTCTGAATTTAATAAATAATCTCATTTCGAATATTGTCACTTAAATTGGAAAAACTNAAAAAACTCCCCCGCGCATTTTACCCTTCGGGGCGGGCGCGCAAAAAAGAGGTGTGACATAGTGAAGGAAACCCCACTCGTTTCTCAAAAAAGTAAAAACATTTCATTAGTCTCGGCATCTGCCTCATTAAATTCATCACAAGAACCCTTACAGCCAAAAGTTGATTAGTGTCATTATTTCAAAATAAAATTATTAGTGATAGGAAATGAAAGTATTCTAGTAAAGGAAATATAGCATGAACAAAAAGAGATTTTCCAATTGAGAAATTTGAGCCAACATAATCTTAAACTTAATCACACAAGCAGCGTCAGGTATATTAGAAGTTCTATTTCAGACGATCTCATGCTGAGCTGTCGATCTTGAAAAGCCATCTTTTGATTACTTTCTCAAGTTCTTAAACTAAGAAGTCGAGGTACAATTTTGAATTATCTTGTGTCTTCCCGCTACACCGATTAATAAAAGGAAAAGGTATGTGCTAACATACTTGTGCTTCAATTCTTGCATATTCAAAGTTAAGAACATCTCGAGGAACCATGATCTCCACGGTAGTGTTGGTCACAATAGCATGTATGCTTTCACTGCAAGCAATAGAAAATGCAACCAGCTGATGAATACAACAAAGAAACAACTTGGGTTTTGAGATAATTTCAGATACTCTTTTCTTCAAACATGTGCAACTCCAATGTCAAATCAAGCTAATAAGAAGCGTAACATTACCATCAGGATGGATCCTTCTAAGCTAGGCACAAAGCTTTTACTCACGTTCTGTTTATCAAAGTTTGAACTTCCTAAGCAATAATAATTAACCACTTAATGCTTTTTTTCCTAACAGATTTATTCTTATAAAAATCAAATGTAGATTGAGACATTAAATAATTTCTTGGGTAATTAATTAAATGAAAGAAAAATTAGCAAGAGAAAAAAATTTGAAAGGTGGAAATAATCCATAATATCACAAGAACCACTATTCGTCGCCCATGTTTATAAAGTTCTCAAATTTTTTTCTCCTCTTCCTTTATCTCAGAATTCACAAGACAAAGGCAAATGAAGAGAGTTATAATGTCAGACTGTCAACCTTCTTTCCGATAATCTCTTAGGTAAAATAAAATGCAAAATTTGAAATTTTGAAGATAATTCTTGTTTAAGCACCTAAGATCTGCAGTTTAGTATCATGTCAATGCAAAAGGACTAAATATGATCCCTGTTTTTGAAATATCACATGAAGATTGATGACATATAATGATATAAAGGGACCCTACTGACTATTTGATGGCACAAAGGTTATCTATTGCATCTTGGAAATAATAAAATTATCAACCATCAAATACAAATGATAGAGCTTCAAAAAAAAAAAAAAGAAAGAAAGCTTCCGAAAACCATAATTTAGTCCTAATCTCCTCCAACTATCAAGAAGAAACCCCCCAAACCAATTAGACCAAATGTAAGGTATGCTCAAATGACTAAGATATGGAAGAAATCATTATATTGTCAGTTCACCTAAGCAGATTTTAAGACTATAAGATAATACAAATATAATACAGAAGCAGAAAGAAAATGATTGAAACAAAATTAATGGAAATTCAAGGTGCATCAGCCTATTAAAGAATCACATAAAAATAAAGTAGATCGTGAAATTAAATGCCTATATTAAAAAATTCAAAGTAGTAAATAAGTTATCTGGACGAAATGATAAAAAATATTAACTTACAGGTCAACTAAGTAAATATAATGGTTAGGAAACAATTTACTATGCAAAAGCATATCAAATGAATCAATTTATGAAACATAGGACCTCAAATTCAAACGTATGATACACATTAACTTCATTATTATGTAGCACATGTTTGACAATGCATAATATTTGTTAATAGAGGCGACCTAATTAGAAAGTAAATACTAACTAAATCCCATGTATTAAACCAATATCTTAGGATTTGATTGCGCGCTTTCAAATGTACAGAAAAATATTTAAGCAAAAGAGATGGTATTTGAATCTTTATGATCTTTTCATCTTCCCAGCTAAACAAAAGCTAATTGATGGAGCTTTGGTCTGAAGTATTAACCAAACAACATGTAATAAGCTATTGCACTAAGGCTCTTTTTATCCCTCAACTGAGAAATTAACATCAAAGTATAAAAGGAGAAAAGTTTACCACAATGTTAAAGCTAATACATAACTTGGTGAGATCAAGGCAGTGAAACACTTACAGCAAACTGATAAATCAACCTAGCACCATCAGCATTCGACTTCTTTCATAACCCTCCTTTTTCCCCAAAAACTCTCTTGTTGGTTCTAGAATTCTGGAATTGGAACTGAAATTCGCACATACTTAAATGGCATAAGAAGAAATCACCAAGGATATTCTGGTGTCTTTTAACCTCTAAGACCTAAGAAGTACTGAAAATTTTCATCGAAAAATCAAGATATAACTTTTTAGCATGGAGAATAAGTAACAGAGAACATAATTTTTGGAGGAAAGGTGGAAAATAAATTTGATCAATGAATTTGGGTGAAGAGAACCCATGAGGAAAAAGGTCAAAAGATGTGAGAGTGAATCAAAATCTGAATTAAAGGAAAACTTTATTTTGTTGCCTGCTAAAATACACGTGGAGCCATTTATAACTTACACGTAGAATTTGCATGGACAAATCTAGACACGTATATGATATTGTAAGAATTGACGCGAAAAGATTAATATACCCTCAAACTTTTTAAAAATAACATAAAACACACATGTCGAAACTCTTTCTCTTCTATATAATAGAAATATACATCTAAGACTTCACCTCTTAAGTAATACTATGTCCTATTTCCTATAGAACTGGATAAGAAGTTGGATGCCAGCAGCAAGAGTTGGGAGCTCGTGTGATAAAATGTAGAAATGTCACGACCAGAATTTCCCACCCTCGGAAGTCGTGATGGCACCTACTAGTGAAAGCTAAGCAAGCCAATTAACTGAACTATTTACCTTATTTTCATTTTTAATCGGATAACAGTTAAGAGCCAACAATTTGATAACAACAAAATTGAATAAGCGGAAGACTGCATTGTAAAGTTTTAATAATAGTGCTAATGTCAATCCATAACAAACATACCTAAGACTGGTGTCACAATTTCACATACTGTCTAGGAGTACTACAAATAAAGTTCTGAAAGAAATAAATATAAAACTGTCTCTAGAAATACATAAAAGAAACCGGAATAGTAGATAGAAGGAGACGCCAAGGCCTGCGGACGCCTGCAGGACTACCTCGGGTCACCTGATGAACAAGAAACATTAATCTCATTGCGGTCCGAAGTCTACAACACTGGATCTGCACAAAAGAGTGCAGAGTATAGTATCAGCACAACCGACCTCATGTGCTGGTAAGTGTCTAGCCTAACCTCGGCGAAGTAGTGACGAGGTCATGACCAGACTATCAAATAAACCTGTGCAGTTAAATCATATACAGCGGAAAAGAAGAACAGTAATATGCAGTTAAGTATGGGAGGGGGTAACATGTTGGGGGGACATCGAATAATAACAAAAGAACAACAAATAAATATGAGGATCACCACAGTTCAATTGAAAATAGGAAGGAGGAATCATGTTGCGGGGTACAACAAGTATCAACAGGAAACCAACAATTAAATGTAGAGAAACCATAACTCAGTTATCAATAAAAAATCAGGAAATCAAAGACAAGTGCACGGCATCACCCTTCGTGCTTTAACACTCTCTCATCAAAATAATACACGGCATCACTCTTCGTGTTTTACACTCTTCCTCACCCAAGCAACAATCACAAGGCAAATAGGGTAAGGGAATCTACACCACCAAAATAAAATTAAGTAACAACAGAAAATCAGTAAATAAACGTAAAAGACAACATAACTCAATTATCAGCAAGAATCAGGAAAATCAAGGACAAGTGCACAGCATCACCCTTCGTGCTTTTACTCTTGTCCTCACCATAAGAATCAATATAAACTGCACGGCATCACCCTTTTGTTCTTTTACTCTCATCCTCACCATAAAATCAATATAATTGGCACGGAATTGTACATCGTGTGGCACGGCATCACCCTTCGTGCTTTACACTCTTCCTCACAAAATCATACACGGCATCATCCTTCGTGCTTTAACACTCTTCCTCACCCAAACAACAATCACAAGAAATAAGGGCAATGAAATAAATGAAATCACAATACAATTCTGGCAAGGGAACAATAGTACAACAATCAAATCTCGGCAAGGGAAAACAATATCAAAATAATAACATCCCGGCAAGGGAGACTATATCATGATTCTCTCTCTCCTTTATTCTTTCAAATTTACTTCACAACTCAAATCACAACTTGAGCCAATGATCTATGATGTTCAACAGTTCAATTCTTAACTTGAGCAATGCTCTACAATGTTCAACAATTAAATTCTCAACTTGAACCAACGCTCTGCCATGTTAAATTAACAATAATACTTCCATAAGTCATATTCCTCAATAGAAATTATCATATAGAGCATGAACAATACGAAACGGGATCGCATTAATCATAGTATAAGACTCACGGGCATTCTTGACACCAACGTATAGATACTCGTCACTATGCATATACGTCGTACTCAACAAATAACACATAGCAAATAGAATACAACTCCTAATCCCTCAAGTTAAGGTTAGACCAAACACTTATCTCGATGCCATGAACAGAATTCAAGCCTCAACTATCGCTTTACCTCTTGATCCCACCACCAACTCGCTCGTATCTAGCCACAAGTTACATAATTACATCAATAAATGCTAAATGAATCAATTCTAATGTATGAAAATAGGTTTTCTAAATTTTTTTCCAAAAAGTCAAAAATCGGCCCCGGGATCGCTTGGTCAAAACCCGATTACCCATTCCCCACGAACCCAGATATATAATTTGTTTTGAAATCAGACCTCAAATCGAGGTCAAAATCCCCAAAATTTAAAAAACCCAGGTTCTACCCAAAACACCCAATTTCCCCCATGAAAAACATTGATTTTGAGTTGAAATCATGTGAAAAGATATTAAGGATTGAAGAAAACTAGATAGAAATCACTTACAATTGATTTGGAGAAGAAGTTGCCTTTGAAAAATCGCCCAAGGGTGCTTTGATTTTGAAAGAGTGTGAAAAATGGTTGAAATTCGCCTAAGATATGAGTTTACAAGTCTGTGATGTTGCGAACCCTTCAGAATTCTAAGACCTTCGCATTTGCGACCCAGTCTATTTTCCGGTCTTCTTCGCATTTGCAATAGACCTCTCGCAAATGCGAAGTCGCATTTGCGACTAAGGCAGTAACTGGAGGAGTATCGCATTTGCGGTGGAAACTCACATTTGCGAGGAAATGCTGGCCTGGGCTAGCTCGCATTTATGACTCAGCCCTCTCATTTGCGAGCCAGGCTTCGCAAATGCGAAGCTTGCAGGCCTGCAATAGAACAGCTGAAACCTGAAATTTTTCCAAGTCCAATTCTAATCCATGGCCCATCCAAAACTCACCCGAGCCCTCGGGACTCCAAACCAAACATGCACTCCAACCAAAATATATCATACGGATTCGCTCGTGCATTCAAATCACTAAAATAACATCAACAACTATGAATTTAGCATCAAAATCATGAAATTTCTTAAGAACTTCAAATTTTCCATTTTTCTCAAATACGGTCTGATTCACGTCATTTCAAGTCCGTTTCTTGTAAAATATCACAGACTCATCTTAAATCTCATATAAGACCTGTACCGGGCTCCGAAACCAAAATACGGTCCGGATACCATAAAGTTTTAAACACATTTCATTTTCAAAAACTCATAAATATTCCAGAAAACAATGTTTTCTTTAAAAATTTTATTTCTCGGGCTTGGGACCTCGGAATTCGATTTCGGGCATGCGCCCAAGTCCCATATTTTTCCGCGAATCCTATGGGACCGTCAAATCACAGGTTCGGGTTCGTTTACCCAAAATATTGACCAAAGTCATCTTAATTCATTTTAAAGTTAAAATTCATCATTTTCCACAGATTTTCACATATTATCTTTTCGGCTACACGGCCGGACTGCGCACGCAAATCAAGGTGAGAGAGGAAGAGGTTTTTAGGCCTCGAAATGCAGTATTTAATTTTAAAATAAGTGATGACCTTTTGGGTCATCACATTCTCCACCTCTAAAACAACCGTTCGTCTTCGAACGGACAGAAGACAGAAGTACCTGAGTTAGGGAAAAGATGGGGATAAGGGCTTCGCATATTGGGCTCGGACTCCCAGGTTGATGCTTTAGCAGGCTAACCTCTCAACTGAATACGAACAAAAGAAAAACTCTTCGATCTCAACTGATGAACCTGCCGGTCTAGAATAGCTATCGGCTCCTCCTCATAAGACAAGTCTTTGTCCAACTGGACAATGCTGAAATCTAACAAGTGGGATGGATCGCCGTGATACATCCGAAGCATAAACACATGAAACACTGGATGCACGGCTGATAAGCTCGGCGGTAACGCAAGTCTGTAAGTCACCTCTCCTACTCGATCAAGAATCTCAAACGAGCCAATGAACCTACGGCTAAGCTTGCCCTTCTTCCCAAATCTCATCACGCCCTTCATAGGTGACACTCGAAGCAATATCCGCTCACCGACCATGAATTCCAAATTACGAACCTTGCGGTCGGCATAACTCTTTTGCCTATCCTGAATGATCCTGACCTTGTCCAAGGCATCCTACACTAGATCTATACCCAACAACCGAGCTTCCCCTGGCTCGAAACATCTAATCGGCGACCGACACTGCCTACCATACAAAGCCTCATAATGAGCCATCTAGATACTCGACTTGTAGCTGTTGTTGTTGGCAAACTCCGCTAAAGGCAAAAACTGGTCCCGCGAGCCTCCAAAGTCAATGTCACAATCTCGGAGCATATCCTCCAAAATCTGAATAGTCTGCTCGGATTGCCCATCCGTCTGAGGATGAAACGTTGTACTCAACTCAACCCCTATGACCAACTCTCGCTGAACTGCTCTCCATAAATGTGAGGTAAACTGCGTACCTCGATCCGAAATGATAGACACGAGCACACCATGAAGACGAGCAATCTCCCGGATATAGATCTCCGCTAACCTCTCGGAAGAATAGGAGACTGCCACAAGAATGAAATGTGCTGACTTGGTCAGCCTATCAACAATAACCCACACTACATCAAATTTCCTCTGAGTCTGTGGGAGTCCAACAACGAAGTCCATAGTAATACACTCCCACTTCCACCTAGGAATCTCAATCTTCTAGAACAAACCACCAGGCCTCTGATGATCGTACTTAACCTACTAACAATTCAAACACCGAGCCACATATGCAATGATATCCTTCTTCATTCTTCTCCACCAATAATGCTGCCGAAAATCCCGATACATCTTCACGGCGCCCGGATGAATAGTGTATCGGGAACTATGGGACTCCTCTAAAATCAACTCTCGGAGTCCATCCACATTAGGCACACAAACTTGACCCTACAATCTCAGAACTCCTTCATCTCCTAAGGTAGCCTACTTGGAACCTCCGTGTTGC